CTTGAATCTTTAACTTCACTCGTAGAATGGTTGGTGGTTTCCGTAGCATCGCGACACTCTGCACTACAGTAGTCGGAAAATCACAAGTTCTCACACTACTTATCAAAGCTATCCCAGAGTAAATATCGGGTGTTATAGTTTATTTAAGCTGTGTCTGTGTGCTTGCATTGAATGTTCTTCTTTGATATCGATTATCGGTAACCTGTTGTGTATTTTGTAACTTTCATCCATCCTTATTCTTATGTTTGAGAAAGCAAGCTTTAGGAAATTATGGCGAAGGTGGATTCTCGACGATCACAAGTAGGACTATTGAACTCTGCTGACGAATTAAATGATGATAGTGATGAAGAGCCGAATGAAGAAGAAGGAAGTGTGAGGTAGGTAGTTTTGACTTCCTCTCAAGCGGAAGCGCAGTAATTGTTTGACATTTATCCATGTACATTCAGGCCTAGATATCCTACTTCTGGTGGAATTCGATATAGCGGAGCGCGTCACTTTGATCCTGGTGGTTGTACTGCTGCTGACTGGTAATTGCCTTACCGTTATCATATATCTTTAGCTACTTCTTCCACCTCTCATCTACAAGTTTGAACAAACGTTTCTGCTGCTCTATATCATCATTCTTTCCAGTATAATGCAGTGCCACACCGGTAGATGCTATTCGGTAGGATGTCGACGAGCACATCTAAGCAATCTGCGATTTGCTTGTCCACCTAAATTGTAGCGTCACGTCTTTTAATTATGACTGAAAAATTTCACGATAGGCTTTTCAGATTCTTCTCATTGGCACCACAAATTCGTTATGTCGGCGAAAGGATCATAGAACTATTTACTGCAAATGAATCGGGTCGAGTCGAGGTTTATTTAAATGCTCTTCTCTATGTCTTCACTACCGTTTTTATATTTTCTTCAGCTTCATCACGTTGTGCATCCTAATATGCTCCGCCACTCAACTTACAAAGTTGAGTCAATAGACCTAACCGACGGACTGCCAAAACATCGAATTACTGCTAGAGACGTTATTGACAGGACGCCATTTTCTGTGTATGGCACATTTGATGGACGAGTTGGCCTTGTGAAATCCTCCAGTACAATAGAATCGGACAGGTCAGAAATGATGTCTTCTCTACTCTTAGCTAAACTAGTTATGATTATTACACCATTAATCAACACTTTTATAGTGATGTTTGCAACTGTATTATAATTGCTTACCGTATCTTATTTAGTATGACCTCTCAAGAGATCTGGAGAACTGAAGATCCAGTAATAACGGTGAGAGCAAATCAACTCGACAATGGTCTACTAGCATCTACAAATTTCCAGTAGGTTTTAGTATCTAGATTGTTTCTTCTTGAATCTTAACTCTTCTCATTATGATTATTTCAATTGTAGCGTATATTTTTCTCTTTCATAATTTCAACGCTTTCATACATAATCAAAGTGTTATATTTTTGCAGGGGTCGAATATTTATTTGTAATTCGCTCATTAGTTTTTGTAACTAATCACGACAGGGAGTCATTCTGTATTGTTGGAAGTTTGTGATCGATTACTTCTTCGATTCAGCATCTAATTCCATGACATCCCTAGCTTTTATTATTCGTTTTCAGATGTCTTCCAGCAACTAGTACTGTGTGCGTGTTAGATCTCGTCAGTCAAAGCAGGGTTTTAATACAACCTCGCACTGTATTCAGTGCAGTCACTGCTTCAAACATACTGGATGTTTGTTGGTTATGGTGAGCGCTTTTCTTCTTCTATGTCTCACATTTTACTCTGCCCTTTTATACTAAATGCACAAAATTTCGCAAATAGTAACTAATGTAATTGCGCCAAGCAAACCGAATCCTACAAACTGCGCGATTTTTTTCTCCTGCTCCCACTGTATATTCGAATTAGAACACTACAAGGAACTTACGAGGCAGCAATTGAAGTGCTTCAAGCAGCTTAGCTTAGCTTTCTAACCAAATGTGGAAACTACGAATGTTGATAATCCTATTTGTTGAAGCCACAGACCAACACTTTTCCAAATCATCTCATCAGTACTTTAGTGGAAGTGGTACGCAATTACAGTATGAAAACCATCTTATAAAAATGTAGATATGCAGGCATGTCTATTGGCAAAAATCGTGCCACTCGACATACAACACTCAGTCGATATCAGTCAATAGTCAATTCTCAATACTAAAGGAATTTTTTATCCGCTGAAATTTTCAGTCATGCTAGCATATTTAGGGACCATCCTGCGAGATTGCTCTTTTCAACTACAGACAGTATCCGGTTGTTTGATATACGTTGCCCCAATCGGACCGATCAAGCTCTTTTTCTTGACCATGGCATC